CAGAGAGGAAACAACAAAAGGAGCAACTTGAATAGATACTGTGAACTAACCAAACCAAAACCAACCCCAGAGTGCAGATAAACAATTGTTTGTGGTTTCTCTCTTTCTGTTCTGTTCCTTTTCTTTTTCTTTTTCTTTTCTTTTTCTTTTTTTTTTTTTTTTAACTAAATTAGAGAACTGCTCTTGCTGAAATTATGATAGTTAAGATTCCTAAGAACTTGACAATGCTCCCCTGGCTTGCAGGAAATTATACTTATTATAGCATCACCAAGTTTAGAAATCATCACTCATTTCACCTTTTGTTGTCTCTTCATATTCTTCTTCCTTTTCCTAAATGAAATTATTTCAGCTACTAAAACTTCCTGTCACCCTGCTATTTCTCTTCCAATTACTGTTCAAACATTTTTGGTGAGTGCTGCTTTTATAAGTATATGATGTCACATATTTCAGTGACAGCTGATGTCATCAGAAAATCCTGTGTTATCCTGTGTATTTACTAGTCCTCATGATCTAGACCCTTTTCTGTTACAGAATAACTTCACATAAAAGCAGATACCTTGAAGTTTGTGTAGACTTTTGAATAAGATGATAGACGAGAATTTTTTTTTAAAAAAAAAGGAATTTAAAGGAATCTTGTGCAACTTCTGTTGATAGCTTGTAATTTTGTTATACAGTCCTTTTAATGAGGATTGGTAACGCAATCCTACCAATTGATGGGGGTGAGGAGACTGTTGGGCCCTTATTCTCTTATGAAAATCTGTTTCTACAAGGACTAGGCCTAAGCAGGTTTAGGCAACGAATATCATATCCATGAAAAATGTCATTTTAAGACACTAATGTCAACAGTATATCTCAGTGTGTGAGATATATACATACACACATATACCCCATGTGCTTTTTTATGTTGGTTTAGTGTAAACTGAGTACCACTTTATATTTTCTCTTCCATAGTGAGATGTATGCAGTATGTGGCCATGTTTACTAACATACTCATTCTTGACAAAATGCTGAGATTATAAAATGTATATAGTTAATATTTGTTTGGGCTTGTGACCTGACTTCTAAGAGCTACTTCTAACACAGCCTTAGGTCTTCAATTAACAAAGTAGGAATTTGGGCACAACCTTGTCCACAAGCCATTTTAAATATCCACTTAGTCCTGTGTAGTTAGTAGGTGGATGTTCACCACTTTCATTAGTGAAATTGAGCTCACTACTCAATTGCAGCTTAATATGCTGACTAGGGACATTCCCCCTATGGACTGTCTTTATATCACTGTCTTTCTAAGCCCAGAGATGTCATAAGTGACAAGAAAAGTGATAGGATCAAGAAATGGGTGTCACTGCTTCATTTGGAACATGTTATTAACTATGGTCTCTTTCAAATAAAATAGTAGTTTTACATTTCAACACAAGTTGCTATAAGCAGTCCTTGATGTGTTTTCGATTGCATCAGCTGGAAAGCCTCAAATCTAAGAGGGCTTCCCACCCGAGATATAAAATAGGTGTGGCCTATTGCTGTGCTTATAAATGAAAAAGGAAGTTGAAGACACTTTTGCAAATGCCAGAATGTAAGATTCATTCAGTGTGCTCCCTGGGCCTTTATGGCATGGGTTGACAGGATTTGTTTATTTTCTAAAATTAGCTTCATTCAATATTTATCATCCTCCTTTCCCTCTCTGAGAATGAACTATGTATAAAATAAGCTTCTGCCTATTTGCATTTATCCTTCAAACCCAATCTAGTAGGATGTTTTCATTTTAAAAACGAGGGGGAAAGACCAGAGTTTTTCAGGAGAAAACTGGAGGAAAATGGGCACAAAAACTCAGAAGGCAGCTATTCCCAGCAGCTTCCTAGTTAACAACCCCCATGCTGCCTCCAGTCTCTGTCTGTATTCTTCTGTATTTAACCTTCAGATTGTAAGCCTTTTCTGGCAAGCTTTTCTTCTTTTTTTTAACTATTTTCCTGAAACTTTTTATGAATGGCTGTGGCACCATTAATGCTGCTGAATATCTTTAAACTCTTTGCACAGGCAAGTGTGTAGCTTAAGGCCACTACTGGTAAGGAAACCAAGTGTCCTCTGTGCCTTTTTTCTTTCTGTGAAGTAATTTAAGGACATCCAAAAAAATTAGACTTTAAAAAGTTATCTTGGTACAACACCGTGTGTATATATACACTTGGAAGCTTAAAAAGGTGTCTTGTCTGGAACTTAGAAGCAGCTCTAAATCTAGTAGAGCAGACTTTCTAACATACCTGGTTTTGTGTGTTGGCTTTGCTGGAGTATGATAGCAAAATGAAGACTCTTACACTCAGCTCTGGTATTGCTAATAACTTACCAAGAGGCTAATACTAAACTTGGAAAATTGTTTAAGTATGTTTTATCAAGCAGTCTGGGTTTTGTTTTTTACTATAGTTTTTAATGGATATGTGAAAACTGAAGGAAATGTTAAAGGTTTTTTTAATGGTGCAAGTGAAGGTGCCAGTTGCTATTTGGTATCACACTCTACAAAAGCTTCATTACTTTATTTGATGGTGGTTGCTAAGCAGCCATTGCACAGAGCATAAGTCTACTGGGTGCCTTTACAAGCCAGAGGCTGATGCTGCACTGTTGTGATGTCATGTGAGGAAATAATGCACATGCTCTAATTGCTCAACAGGAAATGAACCTAGAAACAGAAAATGAAAAGGTTGATTGAAATAAAACTTGATCAACACGACTGTATTTTGAAACATTCCAGGAAGGTTACTTCTTGTTAAACTTGCCTGGCAGTGTTTGTTCAAAACTTGTATTTAATAAATGAACACCTGACTTACAACCTTTGTTATCACTTTATTCCATTATTAAAAGCTAGTGGCAGTTTCAGAAATCCCCCTGAAAACTTAGAGGATTCTGATGTTTCACTTTTTTTTTAGGTAAGTAACATCAAATATGTGTGACCTGGCCTACCTTACCAGGCCTCTGGAGGGGACCCTGGGGTTACCCTCAGGAGATGAATCTCCCGGTATGGTTTTCCTAACCAGCTCTCTTGGCTTCACTGTTTTTCTTTATCTGGCCTGAACCCCACGTCTTTGTAATCATTTGCTGTTATCTTCCCCTTTCTTGCTCCTTGTTTCCATACCCCTGCCATGCAAGATGTCAGCCTAGATCAACTCAGCCATTCCCCTCTGCTGCAGTATCCAAACTGCAGACCATTGCTGGAGGAAAAACACAATTTTTAGAATGGTGCAACCACAAACTTATCTCTAATGTTGCCCAACAACCCTTCTGTGTGTCCTTCAGCTATTCCAAACTGTGGCCTCCTTCCTTAAATTCCTTCCCATACCCCCCTCCCAGTTACCCCTCACAATCCAATGAGTTTGCCTTCATTTTGCTGGGAAGATAAAGACTTCAGAGACTTTGAAGACTTTCAAACCTCTCTCCCATCATCACATCTGTGGAAAAGGCCCCAGAGATCCCTGGCTAGTTCTCCTTTCCTGCCTCATCAGGAAAAGATATTGCCTCTTGTCAATATCCCTCCTCATCAGGCAGGATGGCCTGTGCCTGTAATCCTAGAGCTAAGCAAGAGGCAGAAGTGGGATGATCTCTTGAGGCCAGGAGTTTCAGACCAGCCTAGGCAATGTGGCAAGACCCCATTTCTAAATAAATAAATGACTGCCTCTTCTCTGTCTTCAATTTCTCCCCTGAGTTCCACATCCCCCTTGGGTTTTCTGACTTGTAATCCTTTACAGCCATATTTCTTCACCATTCACCCTGGCTTCTATCCTAATTTTTTGAAACTGCGCTAATTAGTTAAAGATTGCCATACTGCTAAATTAACTTTCCCATCCTTAATTTGAGTTTTCTGCAGTATCTAGGGCAGCAGAATCACTCCTTCACTGAAAAGTTCTTAGTTCCCTGATACCACTTCAAATTTTTCTTTCCACCCCTCTAACCATTCCAAAAATCAGAGATTTACTTCTGCTCAGACTTCCCCAGGATACATTATAGTTCTGTTCCTCTCATCAAATGCCACTTCCCTACATACATCTTTTCCTTCTCATATTAAACTATGAAGTTTCAGCCCTCTGTAGTATACAGCTGTTCTCTCACACATCAGCTCAAGGATCTTCTCTAGGAAGTATGCTGAAATCACCACCATGCCTAATCTGATAGAATGCCCCCTCTCTGAGTTTACATTGCAGCTTCTTCAGATCTCAACTCTGCCACTTCCAAATTGTGTGGCCATTTTTCAAGACCAGTCTCAATGGGGACAATGCCTTACAGGCTTTCTTTAAATTCCAAAATGCCTGGCATAGTGTGGGCGTTCAATACACGTGTTTTTTCCCTCACATCTGCACAACTCCTTGTGGCTAACTAGGGAATTAGGGGAAATGGATTCCAATCCTGATACAGGACTTTGGGGAGACTGGGATTACAAAAAAATCAACTTTAAAAAGGGCTGTGGGGTCAGGGGCGGTGATTCACGCCTGTAATCCCAGCACCAAGGCGGGCGGATCACTTGAGGCTAGGAGTTCGAGACCAGCCTGGCCAACATGGTGAAACACAGTCTCTACTAAAAATACAAAAATTAGCCCGGCGTGGTGGCGGGCGCCTGTAGTCCCATCTACTCGGAAGACTGAGGCACGACAATCGCTGGAACCCGGGGGACGTAGGTTGCAATGAGCCGAAGTCGTGCCACTGCACTTCAGCCTGGGCGACAGAACGAGACTGTCTCAAATAAAAAGGGCTATGGGTTGAACCTGGTACCAGGTTGTGTGGTGCTTGCTCGGACTCTAACTTTATATGTTTGGCCTTGGACCCTCTCTACCTCTGTACAACGATCGTATGGGACTAGAAGAATCTCAGCGAATGCTTCTGCAGCACCGACTTCATAGGTTCTCAGAAACGCAGCTAAAGCACCCGACGCGAAGTAGCGGATACCGGCGCCAAGAAAAGCACTGAAGGTTCAGGGCGCATGCGCATTTCCGCTCCTTGCCGGGTTTCCGGACCTCTGCTAGTGGCTGCCCAACAAAATGCCTGCTTCTCTGAGGAATCCCGCTGTTCTTCACATGCTCTCTAATATCATCTTTTCATATCCACTTTCTCTTCCATGTTGAAAAAAGTAAGTGGACAGACTGGATTCTGCAAAGATCTTTGGACATTTAAATATCCTCGACCGGCGCGAAAAGAGGCGGCCTGACCTTGGAAGTGGGACGGGGTCCTGCAACGGGTCCTTCCGGCGGGTGACATTCAGCCGGCCGTTCCGGGCGACGGACTTCGCATCCCAGAACCATGGCCCAATTTGTCCGTAACCTTGTGGAGAAGACCCCGGCTCTGGTGAACGGTGAGCGCGATGTAAGACCGCCGAGGCGGGCACACGGGCGGCAGGGAGGCCTGCGATGGCCTGAGAGGAAGAAGCGGGCGGCCAAGACCCGAGGGGCCTGCGGGTGCCGGGGCGGGATGGCCTGCAGGTGAAGGAAGCAGGAAGGTTGGCGACTCTCCTCTAGCCTTCCGCTCGCCTGACCTGCAGATTGGGTTCTCTACACAACCTAGAAGTTCCTGAAATCCAACCACCACTGGGAAGAGAGGTAGTGTGAAGGATGCCCGGCGTTGCCCGGCAGCTCCGCCATTACGCGCCCTGAGATCGCTAAGGGCAGGAATATAGAGGGCATGGCTCTGTTAGGAGAGCTAAGAAAAGGAAGGGCAGAAACGTGTGAAAGTACATCAATTCGGCCTCATCACATGGTCTGGTTGTCAGTGGAGTATTTGGAAGTCAACAGAAATGTCGACTTTGCTTTCTGTCCTAGACAGATTCTAAGATACTTCCACTTTAATCCGAGGGAAATTTTAAGTGGAAATGGACTTCATGGATGAGTATCCGTGCCCCAAGAAGCATAGAACGGGATCCGTATAAATAGTAATCTTTGTTATTACAGCTTAGCATTCGTGGAATTTTTTCGGCTTGAAGAGCCTCACTGGTAGACCGCTGTATTTCACAACAGCCCTGAATAATCACAGCCTCTGAGTACTAGTTTATTTGGCCAGTAAATATTTCAGTTGTCTTCTCAGTGGCAGGCTATTCATTTTATTCGTGAAGCGAGATAAGATAAATTGACGTAAGGTTTTCCTAAATGTGCTGTATTCCAGTAAGTTGACTGAAGGTCAGATCTCTAACTTTCGCCCAGATTTCTGAAATGTAAATAGAAAGCAGAACTTCAAAAAAAAAATGTAATACTTTTTAGTCCCTTTTGCTGTGTTTGAGTTTGATTTGGGTACTTTCTTTTTCTTTCTTTTTTTTTTTTTTTCCTAGAAGACAGGGACTCTCACTCTGTCGCCCAGGTTGGAGTGCTGTGGCAGATCACAGCTCACTGCAGCCTCTGCCTCCGAGGCTCAAGCGATCCTCCCACCTCAGCCTCCTGAGTAGCTGGGATCACAGGCGCGCCACCACACCTGGCTAATTTTTGTATGTTTTAAGAGACGGGATTTCGCCATGTTGCCCAGGCTAGTCTCTTAACTCCTGGGCTCAAGGGATCCTCCCGCCTCGGCCTCCCAAAGTGCTGGAGTTACAGGCGTGAGCCACAGTGCCAGCCTGGTATTTTATCCATTCTCTCCTCCCTTCCCTCCACCACCAGCCAAACTATGCGTTATTGAAGGCTTTCCTGCAGAACCTCGCAGCCTACTAGTGAAACATTTTACACATTTTCCCAAAGAATTTCTTAAGCTTACAAAAAAATATTTTACTTCACTAAGATTATTATCTGTCATAGAGCTCTACAATTTTATATTAATCAAAAGAGATGGCCCTGCGGCGGTGGCTCAGGCCTGTAATCTCAGCACTTTGGGAGGCCGAGGCGGGCAGATCACTTGAGGGCAGGAGTTCGAGACCAGCCTGGCCAACATGGTGAAACCCCATCTCTACTAAAAATACCACCAGGCCTGGTGGTGCATGCCTGTAATCGCAGCTACTTGGGAGGTGGAGGCAGGAGAATCGCTTGAACCCAGGAGGCGGAGGTTGCAGTGAGTCAAGATCGCACCACTGCATGCCAGCCTGGGCGACAAAGCGAGGCTCGGTCTCAAAAAAAAGCCTGGACACCGTGGCTCACGCCTGTAGTCCCAGCACTTTGCGACGCCAAGGCGGGTGGATCACCTGAGGTCAGGAGTTCGACACCAGCCTCACCAACATGGTGAAACCTCATCTCTACTAAAACAGAAATTAGCCAGGCGTGGTGGCGGGCTCCTGTAATCCCAGCTACTGGGAAAGCTGAGGCAGGAAAATCTCTTTAACCCAGGAGGCAGAGGTTGCAGTGAGCCAAGATCGCGCCACTGCACTCCAGCCTGGTGACAGAGGAGACTCCGTCTCAAAAAAAAAAAAAAAAAAAAACTAAAGAGAAAAAAGGATTGGAGGCTTCACTCTGGACTTCGTGGATGATTTAAGGCACAATTCTTAATATTTCACATTTTTTAGATGGCGCATATTAAGGAATTGCAATCTAGTTTTTATGATAAAAATCTAAAAAGTAACACCAAGGTAATTTTTTTGTTATGAAATATATAAACCCTTCCCTCCGTTATTGTAAATAATTGAAAGATAACTTGTTATTCTTCCAAAAGTACTTAGAAAGGAGGACTCAACTGGGCTGGAATGTTAATGTGGAAATACATTTTGCTTTATAACATATACAGGCTAGTGTATTAAATGTGAATGTTAAATATTTAATAGAAATTACTGACTATATCTGTTAATTCCCCTGGGGGCCAAAGAAGCTTATGGAAATAAGTAAATTTATCATCAGGCTTGCCTAGGAATCATAGAGTCTGATTTTTTTTTCCCCTTAACTGTAGACTTTATTTCTATTTCAGTAGTTTTTCCAGTAATCTTCCTGTTCTAGGATCCAATCCAGTGTACCACATTGCATTTAGTTTCTGTGTCTTTCCAACCTCCTTTGGTCCAGGACAGTTTCCCAGTCTTCCCTCATCTTTCCTGACCTTGACAGTTTTAAGGTGTCTAGGTATCTTGTCTGTCTAGGTATCTGTCTAGGTATCCTGAAGAATTTCCCCAATCTGGATTTGTCTGGTGTTTTTCTCATGCTTAGTCTGGAACTATGGATTTTGAGGAAATATCACAGTAATGAGATGCCCTAATCACGTGTCAGGAGGTATATGATATTCATGTGACATTTCTGGTGATACAAGCTTTCATCACTTGGTTATAGGTTCCTCCACTGTAAAGTTACTGTTTTTCTCTCTGTGTTCTATTCTTTAGAAGCAAATAACTAAGCCTATCCCATTAAGGCAGGGTGTGATTACAGTGGGGGGATTCCATCTCCTGTAGGAAGGAATATCTACATAAATTAAATAGAATTCTTCTGTGAGAAAGATTTGTCTCTTCTCCATTTATTTATCCAGTCACTTATTGTATGGACTTGTACATTCATTTCATACTTTGTATATCAAATACCGTATTATTGCTCAAATTATTTCACCCTTGGCTATTTGGGAGCTCTTTCAGGTTAGCACCTCTGTCCCTTTGACATGCCGCCTCCCTTTCTGATACTACAAGATGCTTCAGATTTAAATTGTATTTTCCCTGTCCCAGCCTTAGAATCAGCCATTTCGCCAAGGAACCTTAGTTCCTTTTATTGGACAATAGAATTGAGAAACTAAGGTCTGGGTGCTGTTTATGTTCCTTGCTACTAGAATATCACTACTTCTAGGTCCTCTCAATTGACAGGGATATAGATAGGTATCCGTATAGATGTATATATGTGTATACATGCATACTAACCCATGTATATACATGCATGTATGTATATATAATTATTTCCATGTCTGTCAGTCTGTGTATATATTAAGCTAAACCTGAGTCCAACTCTAACCTAGTATGGTGGGGTTTATTCTTGCTGCTTTTCTTACTTACCTGTAACATCACTCAACCTCCACTGAGAAACCTAGCTCCCATCATCTACCATTCATTATGTTTTATCTCTTGTATACATGTAAAGCAGTTTCAAACTCTTTAACCTGTATCCCCTAAGAAACAAATTTACCACCTAAAATAGTGTTTATGTACAGTAAACTGATTCTTTTTTTTTTTTAAGGATGAAATGTCTGTGTGTTGGAGATAATGGTTTTTTTTTTTTTTTTTTTTTGAGACGGAGTCTCGCTCTGTCGCCCAGGCTGGAGTGCAGTGGCCGGATCTCAGCTCACTGCAAGCTCCGCCTCCCGGGTTCACGCCATTCTCCGGCCTCAGCCTCCCGAGTAGCTGGGACTACAGGCGCCCGCCACCTCGCCCGGCTAGTTTTTTGTATTTCTTAATAGAGACGGGGTTTCACCGTATTAGCCAGGATGGTCTCGATCTCCTGACCTCGTGATCCGCCCGTCTCGGCCTCCCAAAGTGCTGGGATTACAGGCTTGAGCCACCGCGCCCGGCCGATAATGTTGACAATTGGTTGACTGTTCCACAAGACTGTACTTTTTTTTATTGTCCCATCTTACAGGCATTGGCAGTTCTATTTGGAACTATCTCTTAGAGCTTTGTGTCTGCTTGAAGGTATGCCCATATCCTTGGCCGGGCGCGGTGGCTCACGCCTGTAATCCCAGCACTTTGGGAAGCCGAGACGGGCGGATCACAAGGTCAGGAGATCAAGGCCATCCTGACTAACACGGTGAAACCCCATCTCTACTAAAAATACAAAAAAAAATTAGCCCCGGGCGTGGTGGCGGGCGTCTGTAGTCCCAGCTACTCAGGAGGCTGAGGCAGGAGAATGGCGTGAACCTGGGAGGCGGAGCTTGCAGTGAGCCAAGATCGCGCCACTGCACTCCAGCCTGGGTGATAGAGCGAGACTCCATCTCAGAAAAAAAAGAAAAAGTATGCCCATATCCCCAAACACAGAAGATGAGGGAGATAGTAATTCAGAAATACTCAAATGGAGGCCATTAATACAAGAAAAACACCAAGAGCCTTGGGTTATCTGTCTTTGAACAGTAGACACTTTATGGGCCTTCATGCTATTTTTATTACGTTTCTCTTGTAATTTTTGAAACAAAGTCTCATTCTGTCCCCCAGACTGGAGTGTCATGGTGAGATCTTGGCTCACTGCAACCTCTGGCTCCCCTGTCCAAGCAATTCTTGTGCCTTAGCCTCCCAAGTAGCTGGGACTACAGGCGCACACCACCATGCCCAGCTAATTTTTATAGTTTTAGTAGAGACAGGGTTTCACCATGTTGGGCAGGATGGTCTCAAATTCCTGGCCACAAGTGATCTGCCCGCCTCGGCCTCCCAAAGTGCTGGGTTTACAGGCATGAGCACTGCACCTAGCCTCTCTCATAATTTTTTAAATAAAAAATGTCTTCCTCTTTCTGAAATCACTACTACATTCTCACAACTACCCTGGTTGTTAATGGTCTCTTCTCTTGAAATAGTAAATACCTTGAGGAATTCCAGCTTGGTAATAGATTCTAGTTTGGGCTCTTAACGATACATGTAGGTTTTACTTTTATTATTTGTGGTGTCTTTGAAAGAGGAACAGCTGTGCTTTTGTCAAGAGAAAGATTTAATCCAGCACATATTGATGACAATACCAAATTGGGTACCAGTTGTTTTAATTCCATCTGAACTTGTGTATAATATTATGATAACTTTCCATCTTGTTCTTAAGAGTGCCATTCTAAATCCTTCATCCCTTTCTTCGCCTTTTTCTTCAAATTTACTTATCTCTCTACCAAGAAAATATGAATAAATTGACTGTTCTCTTGTTTCTAAATCCAACTTCTGGCATCTTTACAGTTAGCTAGATTTGCCATTCATAAATGAAGTACAGTACTAGCTGGCCACTAGTGAAGTACTGGCATAATTGAATGTGCTTATAGCATCCTGCCTGATTGAACATCCCTGTGGCACAGGTGTTCTGCATCTTTAAAAGCCTCTTGTTACCAGGGAGCAGCTTTGACTTTTCACACCGGGTGCACATTTGGTACAAGCAGTGAATGAAGGTGATGCATGAATAAATATTTGTGTCCAGCCCACACATCTGCTTCTTTCGGTCTCTAGTGAGTTCATCCTGGTTTTTTTGTTTTGTTTTGTTTTCCAGCTGCTGTGACTTACTCGAAGCCTCGATTGGCCACATTTTGGTACTACGCCAAGGTTGAGCTGGTTCCTCCCACCCCTGCTGAGATCCCTAGAGCTATTCAGAGCCTGAAAAAAATAGTCAATAGTGCTCAGACTGGTAGCTTCAAACAGCTCACAGTTAAGGTAACCATGGGCTAAATGAAAACGGATGTGCATAACAGAAAATGTCTTCCCTTGGGATTTTTCTGATTGTTTTGATTAATATATATGTTTCTAATGAGGCTGAATCCAACATAATGAGGAAAAAAATTTTGACTGCTGAGGAAGATACTTACTTTTCTAATTTTGTCACCTGGGTAGAAATAATTAGCCCATTTTATGTCTTAGTTTCCTAACAGTCTTAAACCTAGCAAAAAGGTGACCATTTTTATTGGGAAATTTTTTTTTCCTTTCCTATATTAGACAGTATACTAAAATATGATGGCTTGCTTTGCTGAGTCTGTACTTTTTTCATCTGTAGTCCTGAGATTGTCCCCAGTTCAGCCAAAACATCTCTTGAACTATGTCACAGTCAGGAAGCTAACACTTCTTATATGTAAGATAAAAATACCAAACCTGGGTTATTGAATTGTGTGAAGATAAAATCTAAAAACTGTAAGAATTGGAACTTGCAGCCACGCGCAGTCACTTCCTGCCTGTAATCCCAGTACTTTGGGAGTCCAAAGTAAGTAGGAGGATCGCTTGAGGCCAGGAGTTCAAGACCAGCCCAGACAACATAGCAAGGCCCTATCTCTACCCAAAATAGTGAAAAAAATGTGCCAAGTGTGGTGGCATGCACCTGTAGTCCCAACTACTTGGGAGGCTGAGGCGAGAGGATCGCTTGAGCCCAGGAGTTAGAGGAGGCAGTGAGCTATGATTGTGTCACTGCCTGGGTGACAGAGTGAGACCCTGTCTCTTAAGGAAAAAAGGCCGGACCTGGTGGCTCACACCTGTAATCCCAGCACTTTGGGAGGCCGAGGCGGGCAGATCACGAGGTCAGGAGATCGAGACCATCCTGGCTAATACAGTGAAACCCCGTCTCTACTGAAAATACAAAAAATTAGCCAGGCGTGGTGGCGGGCACCTGTAGTCCCAGCTCCTCGGGAGGCTGAGGCAGGAGAATGGTGACATCTTTAACAGTAGGACAGAGCCCTACATTAGAAATCTGATTTTGATGTGTGTTATTCGTTTGTCTGGTTTTACTGCCTTCGCAAAAACAAAACTTCGCAAAAACAAAACAACGAGGTTACAATTTAGCATCTTCCTGGGATCTAAATAGTATATTACATCCTGAAGTAAATGAAATGATTGGTATTAGTCTATCCTGGGAAGTATGGTTGTTTTTCAGAAGACTTCCATAAACTTCTGGTCTAATTTGATGGGGAAAATTCACTTCCAGAAGTACTGAAAGGAAAAGGTCTAGTTTTGTTAGGGAAAGTTATTTTTTCAACTGGAATTTCAAGATCCATATTCTAGCTCCATGTATTAATAACAGTGCTTTCCTGAACCAGATGTGTATGTTTCTCCTTGGGGCAGTAAAATGTTGATATGAATACCAGATACTTGGTCAGAGTTAAGTCAAATACTAAATGAATAAAAGTGAGGTCTAAAGGGGGAAGACAGCACTTCATCTTTCAGCAGATTTTCTTTTGCCAGACAAAAATGTCTATTCAGAGACTCGGCCTTCCTAGAGCCATCCTTTCATATGAATGCCCTGTCTAAATGCACCAGCTATATCCAGGATGTGGGTTGTTTTAGGGCCCATAAAGTGTCTCATAAACTTATAATGAAAGGGTTAAGTCAGTTCAGATCTGTAAAGAATGCTTTGAAAGAATTTATAAGCTCTAACTACTTACCTTACAAAATTGAAAGTTCAAGGGTTCTCAGCAGTTGAACAAAAGTAATGTTAGTAATTCTCAACTTTGACTAAAACTGCCTTCTAGTTTGAATAGTGTCTTTATGTTCTTTGTCTCCTTAATTCTGGAAAAGAATAGTTTCAAAAAAAAAAATATATATATATATAAAGATACCTTAAAATATATGCTTCTTTTTTCAGGAAGCTGTGCTGAATGGTGTGGTGGCCACTGAGGTGTTGATGTGGTTTTATGTTGGAGAGATCATAGGCAAGCGTGGCATCATTGGCTATGATGTTTGAAGACCAATCTTTAACATCTGGTTATATTTGATTTATTATTTGAGTGTTGTTGGACCATGTGTGATCAGACTGCTATCTGAATAAAATAAGATTTGTCAAAACTCAGTGTTTTTTCCATCAAATACTCCATGAAAGGTCACACTTTCTCTTGATATTAAGCTGGGTTGTCTTTAAACAACTCTAAATGCACATCTGTTTAGCCCAAAATTAGAAAGGATATATGTGGCGATATTAACCTGGTACATGAATATATGGGGATAACATTTTAATTTAAAGGTTTGGAATATATATATTTAAGCTTTATTTCCAGAACAGTGAGGGTTAGGTCTTGGGAAAACTAGAATTTGCCACAGTAGGAGAAATGGTAGTACCATATGCCAGTGATAGAGATGAATCGTGTCAGTGGTTAGAAAGAGTAACATTTCAACTGTTTGTCTTTGCTAAAATCATAGAAAGACCCTATTAACAACATCTATGTCTGTAAAAATGTTAGAGTACTTGTCATCTTGAATATAGCCTCCCCCAGAGAGAACAGGGTGGTATTCTAAGTATGTATCTTTCTAACATCTTTAACAGTAGGACAGAGCCCTACATTAGAAATCTGATTTTGATGTGTGTTATTCGTTTGTCTGGTTTTACTGCCTTCGCAAAAACAAAATGCCCTACAGATATTTCAACGAGGTTACAATTTAGCATCTTCCTGGGATCTAAATAGTATATTACATCCTGAAGTAAATGAAATGATTGGTATTAGTCTGTCTTCTGGAGCGATTTTATTGGGTATATAGGAGAGATTGATCATTCCTTGGCTTTTCCCAGGAATCTTAAAATCCTTAATTGACTCACTGGTACTTTCCTAAATCCACTGTTATTCCTGCAGCCACAGCAAAACATACAGTACTAACTGATGATAACCAAAAGGTGGTTGCATATTTATTATAAAATCATTATGGCTCACAATATAGTATTATTAATCCTTTAATAGTGTTGAACCTTTATCCAGTCAATCCCAAATTTACCCACTGCATTTAGAACACTGCTATTTTAGCCTAATAAACGGCACAGCTTATCTAAGTGATAGGCAAGAAAGTTCCCATAGAGACTACCACGCTGCTAAAATGTGAAGTAATGCCTAACTTACTCCTGCAATAAACAGGTGGTCAAAACTGAAACGACCTCTTTTCAAAAAGTGCTCAAAAAGACTGATATGAGAATGGCAATCAGTTTCTTTTTCATACAGTGCATGATTATTCAAATTAACCTGAAAAAAACAAGATAGGAGATCAGCTAGTACTAGTTAAAACCTACAGACACCTAGTTGATTAATGATGTGTAATGTGATTGTTTATAACACCACTGTCACACCAGAAGATCCTCAAAATAAACATTTACTACTCACTTCACTGCAACTTCCTCTTTTGCCATACAGAACACCTCTGTTCTCCCCTGTGGCTAATAGTGCATGTACGGAATTTTCTTAGGTTAAAAAATAGCAGTGGGCTCCTTGAAGTGGCCACTTGACTTCACCAGGCTTGTTTCTCTTTTTTTTTTTTTTTTTTGTCCTCATCAACCCCAAATGTCTTCTAACAGAACTACTGAGGCTTTCACTGAATTTGTGTGCTGCCAAGTGTTTGTCATTGGCAAACTCGGTGTTTATTGTGCACCTAAGCTCTAGGCACAATTAAAATGGCAGAAACATTCAGGAACAAGACTGTTACCTGTTTCACAGAGTTTGATCTGGTAAGACAGGTAATTAGGCATGCAATTACTATAAGATGTGAGAAGTACTATAATGAGGGAAGGGGAAGGTATGCTTGAAAGGCTAATCCAGGGCTGGGCGCAGTGGTTCACGCCTGTAATCCCAGCACTTTGGAAGGCTGAGGCGGGCGGATCACGAGGTCAGGAGTTTGAGACCAGCCTGGCCAATATAGTGAAACCCTGTCTCTACTAAAAATACAAAAATTAGCCAGGTGTGGTGACGTGCACCTGTAGTCCCAGCTACTCGGGAGGCTGAGGCAGGAGAATCCCTTGAACCCGGGAGGTGGAGGTTGCAGTGAGCCAAGATCACGCCACTGCACTCCAGCCTGGGCAACAGAGTGGGACTCGTCTCAAAAAAAAAAAAAAAAAAGGAAGGCTAACCCAGATGAGAAGGAGGTTCAAGAGAAGTTGTCAGAGATGATAGTAACTATATAAACCAGGAAAGTAAGTTAGCCAAGAAGAATGGAGCAAGGTATGCTGGGCGGGTGAAACAACCTGTGCAAAAGCTATTGTCAGAAAAAGTGTAGTACGTTGATGATCTGAGAGTGTAAGTGTGGCCAAACTGTCAGGCAGAGGAGAGCACTGAGAGGTAAAGCCAGAGATGGTGGGGACCAGATTGTATTTTATGCCTATTAAGGCTTGGACTTCTTTAAGGACAATGAATGGAAAGCCATTGAAAGATTTTGACAAGGCACAGTCCTGCCCTGAAGTAACTTGTGTGGTCTAACATCAGCAGGTAATTTCAATTCCATGTAACAAAAGCCGGAATAGAAACCTGCAAACTTGCATAGGGTTCATGTAACAGTGCATGTGGTCCTGCAATTTTCTCAGTATGTAAAAGTAGAAGTAAGTACTCATTTAGTAGTAGGCATCACGAGGAGAGAGAACATAATGGTTAAGTCAAAGCCAGTTATACGAATATTTGTCACTGTGGTCCAAAGGTTTATTCCTAAGGAAACTGCTATCTATATGTAAGTAAATGAGGCTTTTTGTTGAGGCTTTCATCATTTCAAAACTAATGTGGCCAGGCGCGGTGGCTCACGCCTATAATCCCAGCACTTTGGGAGGCTGAGGTGGGCAGATCACGAGGTCAAGATATCAAGACCATCCTGGCCAACATGGTGAAACCCATCTCTACTAAGAATACAAAAATTAGCTGGACGTGGTGGCACATGCCTGTAGTCCCAGCTACTTGGGAAGCTGAGGCAGGAGAATCACTTGAATCTGGGAGGCGGAGGTTACAGTGAGCCGAGATGGCGCCACTGCACTCCAGCCTGGCAAAGAGCGAGACTCCATCTCAAAAAAAAAAAACAAACAACTAATATGAGGCCGGATGTGGTGGCTCACGCCTATAATCCCAGCACTTTGGGCAGATCACCTGAGGTCACGAGTTGGAGACCAGCCTGACGAACATGGTGAAACCCTGTCTCTACTAAAAATACAAAATTAGCCGGGCGTCAGCACACATGCTACTGGGAGGCTGAGGCAGGAGAATCTCTTGAACCTGAGCGAAACTCAGTCTCAAAAAAAAAAAAAAAACTCATGTGAAACTGTCCACATTGTACATTTCATCCCTTTTTTTTTTTTTTTTTTTGAGATGGAGTCTCACTCTTGTCACCAGGCTTGAGTGCAACGGCATGATCTCAGCCCACTGCAACCTCCACCTCCCGGGTTCAAGAGATTCTCCCGCCTCAGCCTCCCAAGTAGCTGCGACTACAGGCGCGTGCCACCATGCCTGGCTAATTTTTTGTATTTTTAGTAGAGTCAGGGTTTCACCATGTTGGCCAGGATGATCTCGATCTCTTGACCTCGTGATCTGCCCGCCTCAGCCTCTCGAAGTGCTGGAAGTACAGGAGTCAGCCACTGCGCCTGGTCTCATCCTTTGTTTTATACATCTCAGCATTGTTCTTAGATTAACAGTTTCTCCTTTCTTTTCCATTCATCTCTTACATACCTAAGTATTCTACCCTGATTTCTAAGGATAGCTCAATACTTTCTTTTTAAATATTTCATATTTGTATAACACTTTACCTTTTCAAAGCACTTGCACCAGCTATCTCATTTAGCCCTCAGCTTTCCTCTGAAGCACGTGCCATAAATGATATACCATTTAACAAGAGAGGAACTAAGCAGAAAACATGAAAAAGCAGAAAATCCTTTATAAAAGACAATTTGGCTAGGATCCCAAGAGCAATAAGTGGTGGAAACATAAGCTGGGCCAAGGTCATGATCCTGTGTTGTAGTCGGTGCCCTGACTCTACCTGTGACCAGCTTGTGGATCCTGCTTTGTATTTCCAGTTCCGTTCTGTATTATATATTCTTGGTCCTGCTTTGCCCTGCTGTTAAGTTATTTAAGATTTCTTGTCTCATTAGATATCAACCTCCCTAATCTTATGTAAAGTGATAGGTAGTTTAGTAGGACTTACTGTTTTCTAATTAGTGTGGTTTTTGTTTCTACCAGGACATAAGATTCCGATCACCCTTGTGATGAATTCAGTAACAGTTCCACCAGAGGTAATCCCTTAGCAGGGAACTTACACTAGACCTGTTTACCAAACAAAAGGCCCTGATACAATAAAATACTAGCATGCAAAGCCCTTGGCAGTCTCCCTTCTGCCTCACCTTAACCTCATTAGCTACCAACCATTGTTTCAGCCACAATTTCTAACAAATCCCCGTAAAACCTAGCTTTAAATGTCATGTTATTAGAGTGTATATCCACTGTCCCTGATTGTTGCAGTTTTCCACTAATCAGTTCATTCCTTTTTATATCTTTTTGTCTTTTTTTTTTCTTTTTTTTTTTTTTTGAGATGGGAGTCTTGCTCTGTCACCCAGGCTGGAGTGCAGTGGCACAATCTCGGCTCACTGCAAGCTCCACCTCCCGGATTCACGCCATTCTCCTGCCTCAGCCTCCCGAACAGCTGGGACTACAAGCGCCCGCCACCACGCCCGGCTAATATTTTTGTATTTTTAGTAGAGATGGGGTTTCACCGTGTTAGCCAGGATGGTCTCGATCTCCTGACGTCGTGATCCGCCCGCCTCGGGCTCCCAAAGTGCTGGGATTACAGGCGTGAGCCACCGCACCCAGCCTATCTTTTTGTCTTTTGAGACAGGGTCTCGCTCTGTCGCCTGGTAGGAGTATAGTGGCATGATCACAGCTTACTGCAGTCTCAACCTCCCAGGCTCACTCAAGATCCTCCCATCTCAGCTTCCCAAATAGCTGGAACTACAGGCACATGCCACCACGCACAGCTATTTTTTTGTAGAGACAGGGTAGCCACATTGCCCAGGCTGGTCTCAAACTCCTAGGTTGAAGGAATCCCCCACCTTGGCCTCCCAAAGTGTTGGGATTACAAGCGTGAGCCACCTCACCTGGTCCCCTTTATTTCTTGCCAATTTTGTGTCCTGGCTCACTGTCACTTTATAACACTACTTCTATCTTTTTTGTTTGTTTGTTTGTTTTGTTTTGTTTTGTTTTTTGTTTTTTTTGTTTTTTTTGAGACGGAGTCTCGCTCTGTCGCCCGGGCTGGAGTGCAGTGGCCGGATCTCAGCTCACTGCAAGCTCCGCCTCCCAGGTTTACGCCATTCTCCTGCCTCAGCCTCCCGAGTAGCTGGGACTACAGGCGCCCGCCACCTCTCGCCCAGCTAGTTTTTTGTATTTTTTAGTAGAGACGGGGCTTCACCGTGTTAGCCAGGATGGTCTCGATCTCCTGACCTCGTGATCCGCCCGTCTTGGCCTCCCAAAGTGCTGGGATTACAGGCTTCAGCCACCGCGCCCGGCCAACACTACTTCTATCTTAATTCTTGACAATTGCAATTTCAACATACACATGGGTCAGTAGTTTCCAAAGTACAGTCCCTGGACCACAGCAGCATCAGCATCACCAGGGAATTTAGAAATGAAAATTACCAGGCTTTACCCCAGAAACTAGGAGTGGGATCTTGCAATCTGTATTTTTGTTGTTGTTGTTGTTGTTGTTGTGCTGTTT